GAGCAGTGCCAGGAGCTGCTTTAATGAGCTGTGCACATTTTCCTGCCCCAGGGCTTGTAACAGAGCCTCTACATTTGTGTTTCATCTCTCCTGCCTGGCACTCAGATTATTTCCAAGGAGCACCATGCAGCAGGTTCCAGGGCTACTTACTGATTAAATGAGGCCTTTGGGTCCAGCCAGGAAGGGTTTGTACATGTTACCCTGCTGGAATGGGATGGCTCCTCTACAAGAGACACAGTCAAGCTGTAGGATGCCAGCAGACTGCATCTGGCACTCGCAGAGCAAACAAAACAAGCAGGGAAACAGGGATACTGCACGTCCAGCACATCACTGAGAGATCCACCCAAAGGAGCCTGTGAGGCTGCAAAGCACAATAATGAACATCTGGCTGCAGTTCCAGGGGGATCCTGGGTACTGGGGAAATAAAACCAAAACCACAGGCACACACACAGGAAGAGAAAGAAAGAAGTATATATGGGAACAGCAGAGCAGTGGGGAGGGAGCCAGGACTCCATCCTGCTCCAAAGAAGCACATTTGGAGCCTGGATGTTACACCTCAGGCAGCTACAACCTGCTCCCCAACGTGTCTTTTCTGAGTGGCCCTGAATCAAAAAAGCATAAAGTGAGGTGCAGGGGACATCCTTACACCAACCCTGAGGGTGTGAATGATGACAAGCAATAAAACCAACACAGCACAGCCAGAGTTTCATTACAGAATCACCCAACAGGAACCTCAATAGAGGTTTGGGTCGTTCATCTACTGACAGAAGTAACAGCCTGCCTTCCTTAAATACACCTGAGACAGACACAGCAGGTCCTTCTCCTGTTTAAGGGAGGCTACAGGGCTTTCTGTGATCAATGAGGTTAAAAACTTGACAAGATTTCAGCAGAAAAGACCTTCATTATTCATTAAATACTTGCAATATTGACTAGTTGTTAATACAGCTGAAGACTGTATTTGCTACACCACTAAGGGCAAATTCAAGCTTCCACATCAATCATTCATCTCTAAAACAGATAAGGAAAAAACTCAGTTTGTCTTCAGCATCCCAAAATGGACCACAGCTTTCGAGGGCTTTCAGTGCTAAATGAAAGCTGACTGCAGAAAATTCCCTTGTAAGTGTTTATTATTCTAATTTTAACCTCAGGATGTTTTTAGGGCCAGTGAAAAACAAGACCAAAACCCAAGAGACCAAATAATCCACACAGGGATTTTCTCCTGCCTGTGCTAGTTCAAAGGTCATTCTGAGATGCAGAGGGTTTTTTTTTTTATTTTTAAATCACTGTTTAACCTCTTGGACTGGAAGCATTAAATTACACCACAACATCAGACTGGACTGTGCAAGAAAGAAAGTCTCTTAGAGAGGAAGGGACATGGATTCCCATGGGAAACAACACTTCCCAATATAAATATTTCACCAGCATCCACAGTGGGGAGCAGAAAACCCCCTTTCCACGGTGAGGGGTGTGGGACTCAAGGAAAACAGAAATACCTCACAGCAATACACTGTTCACCCAAGCTCTTCCTCAGCCTCACACAGGCTCCACCAGCTCCTTCCCAGAAAGGTAATCCCTTAGCTGCAACCAGACACCCCTGGGGTGTGTTCTGGAGAGTTACCAAGCCAAGAGAATTAAGAAAAAAAAAACAAAAACCAAACAACAACCAAACAGCAAAAGCCAAAACTGGCCAGTCCCTGGGGCGAGCAGCTGCCTCTGCAGGGATAAACTGCACTTGCAGACAGCCCCACGCTGGTGCCAAAAGGCTTTCCCCAGTAATTCTGACCTTTATCCCTTGGCCAGCCTCCTCCAGCCAGCAGCAGGACTGCTGGGGCTCAGCTCTGGCATTCCTGGCTGGACCAGAGCCTGGAGTCTTCTTCTAAATTATCATCAGGCCGAGTCACACACGCAGAATTTACCTTCCCTCTCCACCCTACCAGCTCACCACACACTGACAGGGCTCCCACAAGCTTTCTACAATCCACCAATCCACCTTTCTACGCCTTCTGTGGTCGACAGGCTCTTCAGGTGGATTCAGATACAATGTGCTGCTTCTTTTGTTCCTTGTGAAATAAAAGCTGAATTCCCCTATAACCTTGTCTTCCCTCTGTGTCAGAGCTGTAGTTTGGTTACTGAGGCCACAGTTGGGTTTGTTTTGAGGGTTCTCCCCTCCCTTTGTGTTTGTTTGGTTTTTTTTAATCCATAAGGCTACATATCCTTAGCTCCAAAAATAGAAAGTCACAGCAGACAAAGACCTTCCAACACAGCAAAAAAACTTAAGCACATCATCAATACAAAAGCACTTTCTCACACAGAAGTTCAAAACCTCAACAAGTCCCATAATAAAATGCAATAATAAAACCTTTAAAGGAGCTCAGGTCAATAGACACAATGCCAGTTAAGTGACCTGTAAGACAAGTCACCGTTGTTTGTTGGGGGAAAAAGGTGCCACCTGCTCACAACATTTCACATTCAGTCCCTCACTCCAGTTCCAATCCCTGCATTAACTGAGTTTGCCACACACCACACTCCTCCTGTCCCCAGCTCCAGCTTTTCCATCCCCTCCATCTGCAGTTTCCTCAGGTGAGCACCTCTGTTGTTCAACAGGTCTAAGGACTTTTGAGCAGCATTGTGGGAGTATTTTGTGTAAGGTAATATAAAGGAAATAGCTTATTGTTAACCATTTCCAGACCAAGAATCAGCACTGGAGCAGGTAAAAGCCATTGCAGGCAGCTTATGAAACACAGGTGATGATGTGAGCAGGAGGGAAGGCTGGAAGTGAGAGGCACAGCCAGTCAGGCTGTCACAGGGAAAAAGGAGAAATCCAACTTGCAGGGCAGCTCATAGTTTTTAAATCTTATCTAGATGAAACTGTGAATCCAATTATATACTTATTAAATATTCCACACTTGTTTACGATGATTACAATGGCAGAACATCAGGTTACAGGGTAACCATTGTCTGATATCAACCCCATGGCCATCCAAGTCCCAGAATCATGGAATGGTTTGGGTTGGAAGGGACCTTAAAGAACATCTCGTTCCAACCCCCCTGCCATGGAAGCAATCAGTAACTGGAAGACAGGCCAAGGACTTTTTCTAAGCAATTTATGCTTAAATCATCATAAACTATGCAGAAAATTCGGGGAAATAATTAAAGTATGACTTCATAGACTCTTGCTGCAAACAGGCTTGTTTTTTCCCTGCAATTCCAGAGGAGGGATTTTTTTTTCCGCCACCACTTTCAGCTGCCACAAGCAGGCTATTGTTTGGATTTAGCCATGCAGCAGCACTCCTGATGCAAGCCCACAGCTAAGGCAGCACCACGGAACTAAAATGGAACAGGAGGGAATTTGATCTGAGAATTCAGAATAGAGATTCCTACTAAATACCTGTCTGGAGCAGCAGGGGAAGGATCTCGTGCTTCGGCACAGGGAAGCACATCAGAGAAGTCCTGCAGCACTTCCCAACATCCAGGTGCCCGCAGGGATGTGGTGGATCAGGTGGCAGCTCAGCAGCAAGTTCAGAGCAAACATCCTGCACATCAACTGCCCCCAATCCAGGCAGCCCAAACGTGTCTGTGCCTCCCCCGCACACAAACCCCGCCGTGGCATCCTCTCTCCTCTTCAAAAAGTGACCCCAAGTCAGCTGGGCACACCAGGATGAGCCATCTCTGTGCACTGGCACCTTAATTCTGCAAACTCCTGCTCCATCCCTCGGCGAGGGGGACCGAAATGCCGAGAGCTCACTCGTAGCTGTGGCAACGGCAAATGCAAATCCTGCCACGCTGCAAAACTTCACTCTCCTCCAGCTCACTGCATGTGAGCAAAACCACTTTTTTTCCTCCTTCCCTAAGGATAAATTGGGCTTCTGAAAGCTCTGCCCTAAAGCAAAAATCCAGCTGGCAGAGCAAAAGTTAAACCAGCCACACAGTGCTTTAGCTGGGCTTTAATGCGCAGAGAAAATAAGAGACAGAAGAGTTTGGGAACAGGATGCAAGAGGTTCAAGGTCTCCCCACGTGCATCTGCAAGGGCTCTACTCGCTGTTTACACCTGGGGAGGAGCTGCTCTATTTGCAGGCTCGAGTTTCAGGCTGCCCAAGTCACACCACTGCGGTTTTAACAGGATGGAGTTACAGTGCATAGACAGGCACAGAAGGGAAAACGGATTTAATTAATTTAAATCAATTCTTTCCTGTGAGGGTGGTGAGGCACTGGCACAGAGAGGCTGTGGCTGCCTCGAGGCCAGGTTGGATGGGGTTTGGAGCAACCTGGTCCAGTGGGAGGTGTCCCTGCCCATGGCAGGGGTGGAATGAGATGATCTTTAAGGTCCCTTCCAACCCCAGCCATTTTTGATGTCATGACAAAGTGACCCATTTTTCAAAAAGTAATCAGAATTCTAAAGAATCAGCACATCTGAATGCAAACCCACGAGCTTTTCTCGGGAAATAAATTGGATATTTCTCATGAAGTTGCAGGCACTAACTGCATATAACAATCAGGGGTTAAAAACAACTCATGGGGGTGGTGAAGAAAGGAAAGAAAAAAAAAAGCCTCACCTAACAAGTTTCCAGCTGCAAAGCCTGTGTGAACTTCAAGACCTGAATTGCAAATTGAGCTTTGGTGAGAATTATAACTCTGCTCGCAGGGTATCTACTTGTGGTTTGCAAAAACTTCTCAGACAGTAACCTGAACGGCAACCAGAGAGTGAAAAAAACCCCACCGATGCTTCCTGCACGTTGAGAAGTTTGGGTGGGGAGCTTCGAGATTTCTGGCTCAGGTGGAGTTTGGTTTTGGTGTGGAGAGGGGGTTGTGCTTTGTTGGGCTGTTTGTTTGGGTTTTTTAAAGGGCAATTAGGGTTACCAAGTGCAAATCGTTTCCGAGGCTCCAAACGGTGCAACCTCACCTTCACCTATTTATGAGCAAAGCAAATCCAAACCCACGGGCAGGTTATTCTATCTGGGAGCAAAGCAAAGGAGCTAAAAACGAAGGAAAGGGAGAGTTACCATGGGATACCAGGATGCGTCACTTCTCTTGGCTCTCGTGGCGCCACGTGACATCTGAGCCGTGAGCGAGGAACTCAGCAGATGGGATAGGAAAAAAAAATGTAAAAAGGTCTCTGGATTATAGCAAAGTTTAGGCTTTAAAATCTACTGCTTGGGGCTACACAAATAGAGGCAAAAATATTTATCTATAAACCAAACTATCTGTCTATAAATCTATTGCCACCGCGCAGTAAATACACGCTTTTCCTTCCAACAATCATCAGCATCCACACTTTTCAGTTCCCAACAGTAAATTTAGTCCAGGCACATCCAGAAATGCTGCCCTTGCCATCTCCAGCGAGAACTATCACTTGCCTTTCACAGGAGGCAAAGCAGGTCAGTAGTTTGCAACTTGCTCATAAATACAGAAGTAGCCACTTGACAGCAACAGACACGAGCAGTTCAGGGTTCAAGGGAGATCAGAAGAGGGATAAATCACTTGGAATTTACTCTCAAAGTTATCACACAGGTCACCAAGTCCACGCCTTGGGATGGAACCCACTGAACCAAGGCTCTTTTGATTTCCAAGGGATCACTGTTGAGCAGCTGTTGGCAGTGACCTCCTCCACACTCTCACCTACACTTCAATTTTCACCCCACTCAGTCCAGTATAAATTCTTAAACACCTCCTGCTCCGAGTCCACACAAAATCATGCAGTGAGTGGTTCGATGTTTGAGGGCTTTTTTCCCCTCTTTTTACAGCTGCCAGTCTCTTTCTAGCATACCAACACAGCTCTGATTCAAAGGACATTATTCCATCTCCATCCTCCTCCACCTCCCAAAGCCTCCTGACACCCACATGCTGCTGAACACCAGTATCTCCAGGGAAATTCACTCCTTTCATCAGCCAGCCAAGCAAACCACCTCCCTGTAGTAAAAAGTGACATAGAGCACGAGAAACCTTCACCCTCCGCGGGTGAAGGTGCAATCCCAGAGTTCCAGCTCTACCCAAACATTGCATCACGCTGAAAATTGAGTTTCCAGGGTAATGTTGGAGCCCATCTGTCTCCAAGGCACCACAGTAACCTGATCATTACCCCAGGCACCAGCTGGCACGCTGTCACTCCAACCCACCCGGCTCCCAGCACGCTCCCAGGAGCTCCAGACTGCAACACTTGGGTCAAGGAACACAGGAATCAGCCAGGACACCTGCTGCCATCATCTGCTCCTCAACACCAGCTTGTTATCACCTGAGTCATTTGCTGTTCCATGGGAGCTGAGAAATCCTGCCTTGCCTTTGCTGCTCCAGGTTGCAGCCCCTGCATTACACAAGTCCATGACAGGGCATTGAAGAACAGCCCCGTGTATTTATGACCTGCCTCCAAAAGGAAGTTCCAGGTTTCTACAGACAGTTCAACACAGATGAATCACCTTCTTCAAAGGTACCTGGGGAAGAACAACCCCAGGCACCAGCACAGGCTGGGGGGACCTGCTGGAGAGCAGCTCTGGGAGAAGGACCTGGGGGTCCTGGTGGGCAACCAGCTGTCCCTGCCCAGCCGTGTGTCCCGGGGACAGGGAGGGCAGTGGGATCCTGGGGGGCACCAGGAGAGTGTTGGCAGCAGGGCAGGGAGGGGATCCTGCTCCTCTGCCCAGCCCTGGGCAGGCACATCTGCAGGGCTGGGCCCAGCTCGGGCTCCTCAGCACAGCAGGGACAGGGAGCTCCTGCAGCGGGGCCAGCGCAGGCTGCGGAGATGCCCAAGGGATGGAGCAGCTCTGGGAGCAGCAAAGGCTGAGGGAGCTGGGGCTGTTCAGCCTCCAGAGCAGAGCCTGAGAGGGGCCCTCAGCCATGGCTGCAGGGGCTGCAGGGAGGGGGCAGAGGATGGAGCAGGCTCTGCTCGGGGGGGCCCAGCAATGGCACAGGAGGAACGGGCAGGAACTGATGCCCAGGAAGTTGCAGCTGGACAGGAGGAAGAACTTCTTGGCTGGGCAGTGACCCAGCCCTGACCAGATTGTCTACAGTGTGTGAAGTCTCCTCCCTGGGGATATTCCAGCCCCATCTGGACACACTCCTGTGCCCTGTGCTCTGGGCTGGCCCTGCTGGAGCAGGGAGGTAGCACCAGATCCCCACTGTGGTCCCTTCCAGCCTGATCCCTCCTGGGATTCTTCAAAACATTGCTTTAATAACTGTTCCCTGAGCCAGGAGTCTTTAACAGCCATGGCTGGGTTTTATCCAGCCTCCTTTGAACATGTAACCTTCCAGCAACATTCCTGCAGCAGGGAATACCACAGAGTAACCACACCACCAAAACAAAAACATCACCAAAAGAACAACACTGCCAAAAGAAAAAAACTTTCCCTTGTTATAAGCTCATGCTTCCTTGGGTTTTTTTCCAATGAGGAAGGCCTGGGTACAGTCATCCTCTCTGGAAGATGCAAAGCTCACACTCCCATAACATTCCTCTTCTCACTCCCTCCCTTCACCATCATTTCTTCTCCACACTAAAGAGTCAAAGTTATTTACCTCATTTTATACAACAGGTGCTCTGTGCCTTTGATCACCTTCAGCATCCTGTGCTGAACCTTTCTCTTTTTGGAGACAGAGAATTCAAGACAGGGGAAATCATGGAGAAAAAGGGTTTTTAAAAATTACTTTCTTTTTACAGCAGCTTGTTCTGTTCTCTCCTACTTCACTAATAATATTTTTTCATTCGCCAGTTTGACTTTGCAGCTATTTTCAGTGTAAGGATCTCCAAATTCTGTAAAAAAGCCTCCCAAGAGCAGAACAAAACCCCAAACTAATAATGTTTTTGCATCCTGACAACGTTGTGAAAACAAGCATTAGGCTTCAGAGACAGGAAAGAGCCTGGCAAGTGCAGTAACCTCTAAATTTCTCAGTTCCAAAACTTCATTTCCACCAGAGCGGCAGAAAAAGGAATTAACCATAACCTTCTCCGTGCATTTGTTTTCCTCCACACATCTCAAGCTGTTCGTGCTTTGTAAAAAAGTCAAATAAATATACATATACACGCACACATTTTGGTCATCTGTATTTATTTCCTGACACAGCACCAATAAAAGGAAAGTGCAGAGAAAAAAAACCTGGTTTTTATTAGTAACTAACTGCTGCTTAACAGCTTCACTGACCTTGTAGCACACATCTGACTCCTCACCTGCCTTCTGATCTTCGTGTGGAAACAGCAGCCAACTGTGCCATTAATACTCACAGCACACCCAGGGGCAGAGCTGTGTCCTCAAACTCCTCCTGGACACAGATTATTTTTTTCCTCCCTGTTTTCAGCACCTCAAACTCCTCCCAACACGGGATGACAACACAGGTTTGCTTTAAGAGTCCCTTTTCCCCAAGCTCAAACACAACCTCGTGCTGAATATCACCGAGGATGAGAAAAACCAATTAGAGAAACAGCAGCTACAACAGTGATGTATAAACAGCTTTTAAACTGTCAGGTACAGCTATGAAGGAGCTGGAGGCAGGAAGAGACCCCCTCTAACTGCTGACAGGTAGGGTTATTTGAGCTCCAACACGAGCATTTGAAGATGAAAGAGCACAAGGAGGGTGCTGAGAGACAACTGACAGCTCGAGGAACACACACCGGTTTTCAAATCATTCCTGTGATGTAGGATAATGTTTATGATCACAGCATTCACTGGGAATTAGAGCATCCATTTAGCAGCAGGTTTGCCTGATCAACTGTCTGGGGACTTCAAACACATCAGCAAAACTGCACAAGTGGAGACGGTGCCTTTGCAGCCTCAACTCGGCTGAGAAGCTTCACAGAAGACCAAAAGATGGAGAGGAAGAGAAAATCAAGTGTGCACCTGGTTCCAGGCAAGCTGCCTGTTGTCCTTGCTGACTGCTAAGCCCAGACCTGTTAGTCCACCTCTGCCTCATCTCCAGTGCTCAATTCTGCACCTGCTGCTGGCTCCAGTTCAATGCTTTTTGGGCCAGGTCACTGTTTTTGGAGCAGGCAGAGCCTGAGGAACCAGCACCATGGCAGGGCACTTGTGCTGTCAGACACAGACCAACAATACCTTTAGCAGGGGGCAGACACAAGCAGCTGCATCAGCTCATCTGGATCAGCAAGAGCATTCCCAAAACACGTGGAGCAACCTGGATAACACACCCTAACAACAGCAGCAGCATTTGTGCAAAGCATGGCCCTGGTCTTTCTGCCACTTGTCTTCCAGGATGTGCCCCACAGCTCAGGGAGCTCCCAGGGCTGTACTTCCATCAGCTTTCCAAGAAACTCTTTGCAAAGCTTGGGGAATTTGGTGATGTGTCCATGTCTGGACACTCCACAATGCAGGAAAAGGGCAGGGAGGCCTCTGAAGCAGGAGCAGGCTCTGGCCAGGAGGGTATTTAAGTCTGCCTGGGTGTCTGGGACACACACATGACTTGAGTAGTTGGGACAGGCACACAGGACTGGTGACAGATCAGACATCCTCCGCTGGGACTACAAAAACCCTCAGCATTTTAATTACCAAATTATTTCATCCATCCTTTGCCGTGTACTTATCCCTACGGAGCAAAATATGTTAAATGTAACATTTTGTCTTCCCAAGGAGTACATGGAAATCTGTCAAAACAGTTGCTGACAGCCTTTCAACTACTTACTGGGAATGGGGACAGCACAGACCAGGAAAAAAACCTTTTTGATTTCATGCATCTTGAAAACACAGACAGAAACATCTCAGGAATGAACTGCAACAAAGTACCTTGTGCAAGAATCCCAATAACCACATTATCTGCTGAATAACAAATGAAAATAAAAATGAAAATAAATAAAAAAATGAAACCATGCAGTCTGTCATTATAAAGAACTGCATCTGTCATTAAAATAAATGAACTAACCAGCTGGTGCTTGTGCAGAAGGAGAGAGCTATTTAACAGAATCCCAGAATGGTTTGATTTGGAAGGAACCCTAAAAATCATCTCCTTGCAACCCCTATGGGCAGGGACACCTCCCACTAGCCCAGGTTGCTCCAAGCCTCGTCCAACCTGGCCTTGGACACTTCCAGGGATCCAGGGGCAGCCACAGCTTCTCTGGGCAACCTGTGCCAGGGCCTCCCCACCTTCATAGAGAAGAATGTCTTCCTAATATCTCATGTAACCCTGCCCTCTGGCAGTGGTAAGCCATTCCCCCTTGTCTTGGCACTCCAGGCCCTTGGAAATAGGATTTCCATGTTTCCTGCAGACTCCCTTCAGGCCCTGGAAGGCCACAATCAGGTCACCCCAAAGCTTCTCCTCTCCAGGCTGAACAATCCCAACTCTCCCAGCCTTTCCTCCCAGCAGAGCTGCTCCATCCCTCTGATCCTCTTGGTGCCTCCCCTGGACTGGCTCCAGCAGCTCCATGTCCTTGCTGGGCTGTTCCCCAGCTCTGCAGGAGGGTCTCACTGAGGAGGGCACAGGGTCTAATTCAACCTGTTGCATCCCTGACTGAAGTTGGGGGGAAAACAACTGATTAATAATGCAGCTTCCCAAAAGGAACAAGCCCCAGGAGAGCTGCCCTCACAGCTCCTGGGGTGCAGCCCCAGAGGATGCCCAGGTACCCCAAAAGCCTCAGCTCCTCAGTCTGCACACAGCTCTGCTGATTGCAGAGACACCAGACAGAAACCAGAGAGCAAAACAAGATTAGTGCTCAGCGAGATGGTGAATCCAAACAAACAAGACATTTTGAACTATTTCCAGCATGACTTCAGCACAAAATAACATTTGCACGTCAATGTAATAGTTGATGTTTTAACTGCACGCTAAGGGAACAGTCACGTACAGCATCAGCTGCTCAGCCTTCAAAGGGAGCAAAAAGAGCTGCAAAAGAGCTGTGCTGTAGTTCAAAGCCTTTCAAATAAAGACTAAATTCATTTACATTCAATCCTCAAGCACTTGAACCCAAGCAGAGCACGCCTGTCCCGTCCCCAGACATCCTGGGGAGGGGACGTGACACTTGGGAAGAGTGGGGATGGCACCAACCACCAAATCCCAGCTGAAGCCTCATGTCTACGAGACTCCAGGAGTAAAAATGAAGCCAAGGCCAAAAGGAGCACAAGCCAAGAGGATGCAAAGCAAGAGGAAAAACCCCTTTTGTCTTTGAAGCCCTGTGAGGACCGGTGAGCACACCCTGACGGGAAATCCTATTACTGGGGCCCCTAAGCCATGAATCAACCTCAGAGTCAGCCGGGGCAGCCTCGGGACAAAGGAACAATCATCTGCTAATTCAGGCGACAAAGCTGCAAAAGGAAGGTTCCTTCTGCAGGTTAAGGATTAATCATCAGCAGGTACAGCCTATTTGCATTAAGTGCAGCCACTTCCTGCCAGCACATCCCTGCCTTTTCCAAGAAACAGGGGAGCAGCTCCCTGTCTGAAGGCAAATGAATTAGGAAACAAGATTGAAGTGATCAACAGCACCCAGAACCAGCCAAGCTATTTAATAAGCAGCGAGGAAATGTACCAAAATCCAACGCAATTGACACAACAAACTGAACACAGGGAACACACGATCTCTGCTCCAAAATTCCATTAGACTTTTAGGTTTGGGTAAGCGCCATGTCCAGTCCTTCCTTGGACACCTCCAGGGATGGGGACTCCACCACCTCCCTGGGCAGCCCCTGCCAAGGCCTGACCACCTTTTCCAGGAAGAAATTCTTCCTGATGTCCCACCTGAAGGCTGGTAGAGGAGTCCAACAGGAGCTGAGGAGGATGCCCATGGTTGCTCAGAGTGTGAGGATAAAGCCAGCAGCAGGTTGGCCAGGTGGTGCTGGAAAAGGTCTTCCCAGTTGTGTGCAGAGGGGGAATAAGGCAGAGCTTCCACTGGGATACTTCAACCTGTCCCCCTGAGGGGCCTCCTCAGTCAGCAGCAGCTTCAAGCTCAGGCTTGAAGCAAAGCAAAGGTATCACTCAAAAAGTCAAATGTCACAATGAACTCGTGGCCTACAGAGGACACAGAAACACTCTGCAGTCACATTCAGTTCTGTACATGATTCATATATTCCCCCAAAGGTGTTTATCCATGCACAAGACAACACCCAGAAATCAGTCACCACTTTTAGCAAGATTATTTGACATTTCCCAGGGTGCTGGTTTTTTGGTGGTGGTGGATATTGGTTTTTTTTTTTTGGTGGTGATTTTTTTGTTCCTTCTCTTTTTAAACATCTGCTCTAGCCAACTGCTGCCCATTTAATTGGGAAATCTGACTACTGAGTAAGTCTGCACTGGAATTTTCTTTTAACCATTCCAAGCCCTTGCTGTATTCACACACATTTCTGCACAAGCAACTTAAACACAAATACTTTCAAAAGACAGCACAAACACCGAGGCCCTGTTCCCATGGAGCTAAATTTGGGAGGTTTAAGCACACCTGACTGTAACAAGCTTAAACAGAAATCACTGAGACACAGGAACTGAGTTCCAGGCACAAACCACTGCCTTGCACTGCTCTGTCTGCTTTACACAGCCACTGTTACCCTGTGATTACACAGCAATCAGTGCCTGCTTTGCTCTCTGAGCCCTGGGTTTCTCCTTCAGAGCCACTGAAATTTAAGTTTTAAGAGAGAATTCAGCAAGCAGCTCTAGCAAGCACATTCTGTGCCAGGAGAAGGATGAGTATATTTATATAACAAAAGGCTTCCTGGATTATTTTAAGGCTCGAGTTTTGCAAAGCGAACAATTGAGGAAAGGGATGTTTTTCCTCTGTTTAAAAAAATAATACTTGTACCAAGAAGAAAGAAAGAAAGAAAGGGGGGAAAAAAGCCATTGAAAAGACAGCAGTGTCTTGACATTCTACTATATGAGATCCCTGCCTCTGGGTCTCTCCAGGGGGACAATCCCTGCCCTGGTCACAGGGAACTACCCAACAACACAGACCCCACAACATTTGCTTGGAATCTTCTCCAAAGCAGCCTCCTGCACTGCACCTGTTGATGTTCAACCCCGATTAAACCTGCATTAAACTTTAAGTAATAGATCCCTCCATTATTCACGACATCCGTGTATTGGGTGCAGAGCAAACAGGAGCTGAACCAACGCAGTGACAGGAGCTCCTGGTGTCTGCTAAAAGCATCTCCTGCTCTTAATATTGATGTAGCTGAAGGAGGGTGGGGAAAACACAAATTTTGCATGACTGCTTAAAACAAGCCTAAATATTACAGTTTGCCTTGAACCACTATGACATAGGTGCAGCTTTCAGGAAGCAACAGCTCCAAAAACCTGCTCAGACCAATTCACCTGACCTGCAACACGCAAAAAAACCCAGTTCCATCAATTTTGGCGGCGATGATGTTCAGCCACAGCATTTTCCTCATTATTTTTGGTGGTATTTCTGTGGAAAAGCCACTCAACACCTTGATTAATCAACCCGTGAGATCCAGATACACGGAGCACTGGGACAGCCACAGGAGAGGGGCTAAAACCAACTTTTCCAAAAAACAAATTTGCTCAGGGCACCACAGGAAAAAAAAAATCACAACTACACAGGAAGAATCACAACAAAAAGCTGCTTTTCTGCTCTGTCTCTCAGTCAGTTCAGGTTTTCTAATATTCCAAAACCCTCGGGGGAAAAGGCAACAGCTTTCCCAACTAGGAATGGGAGGCACAAGGGACTTTGTTCACTCAAGTGTGCTGGTCACTGGGGCTACACACAAACAAATAACAGCTTTTTAAACACATTCCTTCTCAAAATTTCTATGCCCAGTAGCTCCACTTTTATTTTCTGATTTTTACTACAACTCTTCAATCGGTCACGGAGCTTTCCCAGCAAGGATCAAACCCAACAAAACCACGACAAATCTTATGAGATGCCTTTCAGAAAATCCTCACATGGCTTCAAAGGATTATTAAAAGAGAAAAACATTAATTACAAGCAGCAAGAAAGGGCATACACCCCATTTATTTTATTTTTGCAGGTCATTCACCTATGTCAAAGCCAGACCTGGGAATGGAAAACAGGTATTCCAGCCACCAGTCTGGTTCTCCATCCAGTATATCAGTCCAGTTTCAACAGCCAGAAGGGCAAAGATTTCCTTATAAGTAAGGTTTGGGGAGCATTTATCCACAATCTGCATCTTTTCAAGTTTTGCTCTTAATTATCTTTACCTGGAAGCTGGAAAAAGGAAGTGATCTTTCCATTGTCTTTCCCTAAGATTTTACAATTTAATACTGGAGTGTAACAGCCTGTGTCAGATCCAAAGGAAAATGGATATCTGCCCACCCAAATCCAAACCAAGAACTTGCCCAAACTCAGGTCACAGTAAACCAAGTACTGAATACACACACCAAAGTACTGAATAAACACACCAAAAACACATGTGCTTGAAAAAGCAAAGCTCATTTACTCACCTGGAATTGCTTCTCTACCCAGAGCACTCGATGCATCAGGTCAGAAGCTCGTTATGAACGTGAGAGTGGAAGCTCAGAAGACCTGCTGCTGGCTGCTTCTCCCAGAGACACGAGAGTCACTGTTAAAGAACACCAAACAAATAAAAATAATGACACGTTAGGAAGCAGAGCTGGCAGCAAGCCTTCATTAAACCATCAGCAGTCCTTATAGTGTGAAGATGACTTTGAGGTCTACTGATAGCTGGGATATACAGGAAAGACCATGGATGGTTTGGGTTGGAAGGGATTTTAAAGATCATCCAGCTCCAACCCTGCAAAGACACCTTCCACTAGACCAGGTTTGCTTCAAGTCCCACCCAACCTGGCCTTGAGCACTTCCAGAGAAAGACATAATTTTAAAAATAGTATTTCCCAAAGGATTACCCAGTAAGAAAGGAAATCCTTGTGTCCAAACAGGCCTACAAGCAGCTTTCTTTGGGTCTGAAGGAGGGCTGAGGTGCTTCTTGTTCCACTCAGTGGCATCCACTACTGTCCAGACACACCAGCCTTCCCACAGAAGTCTGTCTTGGATATGGGCTCATTGTCCTGCCAGCCTGCACCTGGCAAGAGTGGTTTGGATGAAACCACCACCCCAGGAACAACATGGGAAATGGAGCCACTGACCCCCTGATGTGGCCCAGGGGCACCACAGAGCAGAAGCATCTACAACATCCAGAGCACCTCCTCCTTCACTGAAGGAACAATCCAGCAGAACAACTCCTGGGACACACACTGCCCCATGGAGCACAAACTGAAGGAATAAACCTCAAGGTGTGTTTGAAGGGAGCTGGTGAAGTCACCCTGGCTCTGAACACAAGATGTTTTGCTGACAAATAAGCTGATGCAGGGGGAGTGAAGGAGGAAGGCTGAAAGCCTTTCCTGACAGTCTTCAAGATAACCAAGATCATTCACAAGAGAGAGGAAGCACCTGCACTGAAGCAAAACCAAAAACTAAAAACCAAAATGCACATGGCCAAAATCCTCAGGTGGCAGCACCCAGAGAACAGGTTTCCTTCCATCCCTGTTACCTCCTGCACAGCTAAACAGAGCCAGCAGCAGCACAAAAACCACTCAATCCTGCCCCTGGGAAGCAAATCCACTCGTCACCCAACCCCTCCAGCTTCCAAGGGAGACAAAACCAGGACAGAAATTCGGAAAAGAACCAACCCCTTGCACTCTGTAGGGTTCTTCCAATTAAACCTTTACTTTCAGATAAGGGAAATCCAGAAGGTCTCCCTGCTCCATTCACATTAGCTAGAAAAGTGCAATTCATCCATTCCCATTCAAACCCTAGTTGGGGAGGGAGGGGGGAATAAATAACTCTCATTGTGCTGGCTGAAACAGAACCCAATCCAAGGGACTGGCTGCCAGGAAGCAGGCAGCTGGAAGCACGGCGCTCCTGCTTTCCCAGACTCCTTTTTAGCTACGTTTAGGATTAATTGGAAATTTGCTTCTGGGTTTTGCTCTGCAATCTTGCCTCATCTTCGAGATTAACCCATCCAAGTGCTTTGGGAAGGGTGGCACCAGGTGCACCCCCCAGCCAGACAGCTCGTCTGTGCTCCAGGCTGGAAGTCAAACAGCTTTTGTCCCCGGGGATGGAGCCAGGGCACGCTGCCAGCGGATGAGCCGGGCACTGAGAGCCCTGCTGTCCTCCTGCAGCACTGCAGTAACACCAGCTAGTGTTGATAGAACCCAAGAGGAGTTATCCATCCCAGGAACACCCACCAGCAAGTCTTCAGGACACGGGAAGGCCCCGTTTCCACGAGTGACTGGCTCTTATCTCCCAACAGCAGCCGCCCTCCCAAACACGTCACGCTCGCTCACCCGCCGAGTTCCCTGAACCCCCCAAAAAACCACCCACGTGCCAAGAGCGTGACCCAAGGGAAAACCAGCCTGCTGTACCCCTCCCTGCACCCAGAGGGGACCCTCCAAACCCTGCATGCCCACTGTTCTAGGAAGGACAGTTCCCCCCATTCCAAGAGACGCCGGAGCACAAACTGGCGCTCAGACGTAAACACCCACCGGGATGAGCCAGCCGTGAATCAGCTCATGCTGCTGAGCACCATGAGCTGCTCCATCCCAGCTGCAGCCTCTGCCTCTCCCTACAGAGCCACACAGACCCTGTAAGGACACGTTTCCTGCCACAGCCACAATTATTTCTGGGCCAGTTAGAAGCCAGCAGAAGGAATTCACGCTGGCAGTTGGCTCTGGGTACCACCAGTTCCGCTGAGAGCAGGGCTGTGTGGCAACGTTTGATTAGAGCTCATTCTTATCTCTCCTGTGGCATGCACAGCACTGCCTTGTATTATTTGACAAACTCTGACATTTGTTATATATTTCTCAGAAAATAAAAGGTCTGTCTCACACAAATCAATGAGCCAAACTCCTCCATCCTGAGGAAGACCC